ACTGGGCGCCTGTGTGCATTGTCACACTGAGAAGGGTCTCTGGGGCAGGCAGCACCCGACATCCCTGTTCCGCAGAAGAAACAGACTGAGAACGGTTCTCCCAGAAAAGCCAGGCCAGATACCTGCAGTGTGGGAGGCATGGGGGATGGGGACGGAACACTGTGTGTGCACGTGTGCGCGCGCGCTTGTGTGCGTGTGTGCGTGTGTGTGTGTGTGTGTGTGTGTGTGTGTGTGTGTGTAGCGGGGACTAGACAGACAGGGCCAGCAGAGCTCCTCAGCATGGCCAGGCAGGTTCCAGCACCAGCTATGCCATGAGGGCGCTTCTCAGCTTCCTCTTGTGTTAAACACATCTGCCAGGGAGGGCCAGCGGCTGCCTTGCTGGTTGTTATAAAGAACAGAGGAATGGGGTCGCCCCTCCCCCTCCCCCTCCTGTCCTCTCCTTCCCCCCTCTTCTCTATTCTCCTCTGCTCCTCTCCCCTCCTTCTCCTCTTCCCTCCCCCCCTCCTTTCCACCTCTCCTCTCCCCTCCCCTCCTCCTCTGCCTCTCCCGACCTCTTCCTTCCACCTCTCCTTTCTCTTTCCCCTCCCTCATCTCTGTCCTCTCTCCTCTCCCTCCTCTTTCCCCTCCCTCCCCTCTTCCCTCCTCTCCCCTCCCTCTTCCCTCCTCTCCCCTCTCCAGTCCCTTCCCCCCTCTCCTCCCCCCCCTCCCCTCCCCTCTCCTCTCCTCTCCTCTCCTCCTTCTCTCCTCTCTCTCCTACAGTGCCAGGACTGAACTCAGGGCCCCACACACGAGACAGCTGCAGTCACTCTACCACCGAACCCCAAGCTGGGGCCCCTCGAGCTTTCTAAAAACCCAGAGCCCGGCACATGGGGAGTGGCTGGGAGTTGGCAGCATCCAGGAGGCAGGCGCCCCAGGCCACTAGCATTCCAGCCCTCTGCGTCCCAGCCTAAGTATCACAGAACCCTTGTGGCCAGATCCAAACCCACTCACAATCCAGGATTTCTGACCCTCCTTTCCTGCTCACCCTTCCCCTGTACCCCACACTGTGCCAGGTGCTTACACACACACACACACACACACACACACACACACACGCAAAGAGTTATTTGCTCCTTGCTGGAGAGAGAGTGCAGCAGTATGGTGCTTGCCCCTGCACATGGCTGACCCATGCTCAATCCCCGGCACCCCCATCTGGTCCCCAGGAATGATCTCTGGTGGAGTAAGTTCTCAGCACTGCTGGGTGTGGTCAAATCAAGACCCTCGACAAGTCTCAAGGAACAGCCGGGGGCACAGCAGGGTCCTGAACAAACGGGAACCGCCAGCTCCAGGCTCCAGGCTCTGGGCACACGGGCACGAGAAGGGGACCCAACCCCAGGTGGCCTGGCTATGTCCCCAAATGACAGGGACGTGGGGGTGTGGAAGCCTTCAAACAATCACATCAGAGCTTCCTGAAAGGGGGCGGGGGAGGCCCGACTCCGTCCTGCCCGGGCTGAGAAGCCCACACTTTCCTCGGCGCCCCACACATGGGCCTTCCAAAGCTAAAGGTCCAGCCTCCTGCATCATCCCAGCCGCCCTGAGCGAAGACACAGCCACCCAGGCTGCACCCGGGATAGCAGTAATAACCCCCCGGGGCTGCCAGATCACAAATCCTTTCATTTTTTCGTATACCTCCTAGAGCCGGGAAGCAACAGCATCTGGGTGTGTGAGAAGCTGCACAGGCTCATTCTATCACCTTCCTTACAGGGAGGAGGTGGGGACAGCTCAGAGGGGCCCAGAGACCGGCCCCGAGGTGCCCAGTAAGTGGCAGCCTCAGATCTCAGAGCCAGTTGGAGGCCTCCAACTCTCCACCACTTCCGCCCAGACCTGGGGGGGGGTCCCAGCTGGTCCTCACTGCCGCAGACCTGGGTCATGGGTTCTGGGAGCTGAAAACTTCCCCTCCCTGCGCCCAGTAGGCCGGACACAGCCAGCGTGTCACTCGCAGTGAGAGCTGTGTCTTAGAACCCTGGGACCTCAGAAGCTACTGACCTCAGGGCCCGGGAGCAAGTCCAGAGATTAAGACACTTGTCGTGCAGGCAGTCAACCCTGGTTTAATCCCCGGCACCACCTCTGAGCTCAATCAGAATAAAAGAATGACTCCTGAGCACAGAGCCAGGAGTAGCTCCTGGGTGTGTCCCCCCTCCCCCTGGGCCCTGCCAAAAAAAGTCATAACTTGGGGCTGGAGCAATAGTACAGCGGGTAGGGCGTTTGCCTTGCACACGGCCGACACGGGTTCAATCCCTGGCATCCAATCTTGTCCCCTGAGCACCGCCAGGAGTAATTCCTGAGTGCAAAGCCAGGAGTAATCCCTGTGCATCACCGGGTGTGACTCAAAAAGACAAAAAAAAAAAAAGTCATAACTCTCAGACTTCCTCAGCCAGAAAGAACCCTAGATCAAGCCTAAACCAAAGCGGGCACCATGCCCCTGGAGATGGCCTTGCCCAGTGCCGCCCACCAGCCAAGAGGCACCGGGGCTCAGTGACCCTCCCCTCAGCTCAGGCAGCCGCACACACGGGGCATCGGGAGCTCACTTCCGAGGAACTCGGATTCACCCCACAGAAGCAGTGTGGCCCAAGGAGCAGGATGCATGTCATAGCACGCTGCTCGCTCACTCGGAGCCCTGCTGCCCAGGAGAACCAGCCCTGGGACCAGCAACATCAATGCCCGGAGGTCCCTCCCAGGTCAGCCTGACGGCCACCCTGCACAGCGAGCATAACAGTAGCTGGGCACAGTCCTACGCTGCCACGCTCAGGCCATGCGCTCAGGCCACGTCCACTGCCTCGAGTCCTCCACACTGGCCACTGAGGCCGGAATAAACAACTCTCTAGAGAGGGTCAGAGACAGGCCACAGGCCTGCGGTCCCCAAACAGGGGGGGCAACCCCCCACCAACGCCCGCCTCTCGAGCGCCCACGCTCCACACTTTCCCTGCAAGTGGACAGGCTTTTTCCTGGTGCCCTGGCCTGGAATGTCCCCTCCAGCTCCTCCTTCGCCATGCTCCATCTCCCCCCTCCTTGGTGCTGGCTCTGCTCTCAAGTGCCGGGAGGGCACAGTGTCCTTCCCTGGCCCCACCGGAACCCGCGCTGACCTTTACTGGTCCCCCACTGCTGCGGCCCAGTTAGTGTCCAGTCCTCGGTGGGCATTCAGGAGTCAGTGAGTGGAAGCCAGAGAGATAAAACCCGGCTAAGGCACCTGCCAGGCACGCAGTCCATCCCCAGTCAATCTCCGGCACTGCCTGTGGTCCCCTGAGCACTGTCCTCTGAGCACTGCCACAGGTCTCTCCTGAGCGCTGAGCCGGAACATCCCCTGAGCACAACAGGTGTGGCCAGCAACCCAACACAATTTTTAAAAAGCCAGTGAGTGAATGATTGAGAGGCCAGCGGGAAAGAGACAGGACTGACCCACGAGTGGGAAGAGGAGATGCAATTCTTCCCCAGAGAATCCACAGGGGACATGACAGCCGCCATGAGGGGTAACAGTGGGGCCTGCAGTCCCCTTCCCCTGGGGCATGTGCCAGGGGCATTATCTTACTGCCCCCAAGGTGAACAATGCTCAACACCTCTTCTGACAAGGAAGCCAGGGACTTGAGACATTAAACAAGCTGCCCCACAGATCACACAGCCGAGAAGTTCCAGCTCCCACAGGCAATGTCGGGCTGAAGCCTGAGCATGAAACCGCAGACGGGGGTGGGGACAGCTGGGGGGGGGAACGGAAGTGGGGGCAGGGGTACCCTAGTCTGGCCCATGCTTGCAGTGGGGCCCTCCAGGCCAAGTGGGACCCTCCAAGATACCTCCCCCCTCTGACCCACCATCCACCCACTGGCCCTCCATTTCCCACAGGCATCTGAAGACGTAGGTGCTGACTGAACCCCAGCCCGCCAACAATGAGGGGGGCATTTGGGAAGAGACGCCCCAACATCTCACAGATGCGGAAACTGAGGTTTGGCCCAGCTTCGAGGGAAAGGGGCAGATGACTGGACTCAGACCAGCCTGACCTGTGCCACACGCACTTAATGGAACACAGGCCCAGGGCTGACCATGGAGAGAAGAGGGGACAGAGGTGCACTCAAACGGGCCCCAAAACTCGATGAGAAGGAACCCCCTTTGGTCAGAGGAGCTGCTTGCCAGGCTCCTCTGCCCGGCTGAGGGCTGCTGACTTGGTGGCGCTGGGCCAGGGCCCGCTGCGCCGTGTGCCCGGCCATGCACAAGAGAGAAAACACTCCTGCCTCTTCCCAAGCCTCTTGCATGCCCAGCCGGGGGCGGTGGGTGGCATATGGAGCCCCCGAAACTCCCAGCTGTACCCCAAGCCTGCAGCCTCCAACTGCTCCCGCCCACTCCACGGTGGTGGTGGTGGGGGGGGCCAGGGATGTGCTCCCCAAGGAAGCGATGTCCCCTTTCGGTGTCCCCTTTCGGCAGGGGACGGCAGGCTGTGAGGGGCAGCGCCCCTCTCTCTCCCTGCCAACGGGGCAGGTCCGCGGGGCAGCTGTGAGGCCGGCGCCCGCCCCGGTCTGTGGGATTAGGAAGTGCCGCTGAAAGCATCTCCCGCGACGTCCTCCTCCCAGGCGGGGAGACCGTTAGAGGGGGCGGAAGTGGGGCTGCAGCCAAGGGGATGTTCCCAGATGTCCCGCTTTCCAACGGGAGCCGCCCAGCAGGGCAGGCGGGGACAGGCCCGCCCTGGGGAACACCCCGGTGCAGGCTGGGCCGGGATGCACACGGTGGTGGTGATGGGGGGTCCCCCCGGGTACACAACGGCAACGGTTCGGGGGGGCCTCCGGGGATCCCGGACCCTCGCCCCGAGTCAGGCAAACCCGACGCAGTCTCTCCCGGCCCCTGCTCGCGAACCGCCCCCCACCCCGTTCCGGGAGGGTCCCCGGCCCGAAGCCGGCGGGGGCTGTGCGCGCGCGCCCGGGGCGCCCAGGGCTCCCCGGGGCCCCCGCGCCCACCGCTCCGCGGCGGGGCGCCCGCACCTTGAGATAGTCGTTCTCCGAGCGCAGCTCCTCCAGCTCCCGCACGAAGCCGCCGGGCCCGCAGTCCAGCAGCTCCTCGGTGAGGTCGGAGAAGGCCAGCGAGGCGCTGAGCGGCAGGCGGCTGCTGCCCGCCGACGACGCGGCCACCGACGGCTCGTCGGGCGAGGCGGGCGGCCGCGGGGGCTGCTGCTGCTGCGCGGGCGGCGGCGCGGGCGCGGGTGCCTGGCCCGGCCGGGGGGCGCCCGCCGCCGACTCGGCGTCGCTGCCCAGCGCCAGCTCCAGGCCCAGCAGCCGCGCCTCCTCGGACGCGCAGTCCGACACCTCGGAGCTGCTGTCGGTGAGGCTGGGCGGCGGCGGCGGCGGGCGCGGCCCGGGGCCCGGGCGCGGGCGGCCCTTGGCGCGCACGCCCGAGCGGACCCCGGCCACCCGCGCCCCGGCGCCCCGCGCCCCCGGCGCCACGGCGCGCCCCTTCTTGTCCGGCCGCGCCGAGGACGCGGCGCTGCAGGCGGCGGCGGCGGCGGCGCCCGGGCCCGGGCCGCGCCGGCTCTTGCTCAGGGACCAGCCGGCCACGTCCTTGGGCCGGGCGGGCGACGGCGCGCGGTGGCTCTTCTTCCGCTCCGGCGCGGGCGCGGGCGGGGGGCCGCAGCCCCGCGCGGGGGGCTCCCCCGCCGCCTCCATCGCGGCCTCCGGAGTCGGCCTCAGCAGGCGGCGCGCATGGCCCGGGCCCGCGCGGCCGCCGCGCCCCGGGGGAGGGTCCCGCCGCGGCTCCTCCCGGCCCGCCTCGCCCCCGGGGCTGCGCTCGGGCCCCGCGCCCCGTCGCACGGCCTCGCCGCCGCTCGGCGCCCGCAGCGCGCGCCCCGAGCGCCGCCACGCGCCGCGGCTCCGGCTCCGGCTGCGCCCCGCGCCCGCCCCCGCCGCCTCGCCGCGCCCCCGCAGCGCGCCCGGCCCGCGGCTGCTCGCGCGACGGTCGCCCTCGCCGCCGCCTCCGAGTGCCGCGGCCGCCCGGGCCCCGGCTCCGCCCGGCGCGGCCCGCCCCCCGCGCAGCCCCGCCAGCTCCCCGCCCCGCCGCCTCGGCTCGGGGGCGCGCGGCTCGGCGAACAAAAGGCGGACGCGGCGGGAGAGGCGGGGAGGGACGCGGGCGGCGAGCGAGGGAGGGATCTGCGAGGCAACAGCGACCCCCTCGAGGGTCAGGCGGGCCCGGGCGGCCGCCGCGGCCTGCGCTCCCGGCGCCTCCGCCGCGCCCCCGGCCGGCCCGCCCCGGCGCCCGGCGTCCGGGCCCGGGCCGCGCGCGCGGCGGCACGGGGGGCTGCCCGGCGCGGGCCCGGCCGAGCCCGGGTCCGAGCAGCCGGCTTCCATCGGCTCGCCCGGGCCCCCGGCGCCGTGCGGCCGCGCCGAGCGCGCGCGCTCCGCCCCCTCCACCTTACAAAGCCCGAGCGGTTACCCCATTGTACGGACCGGGAGCGCCGGGCGCACGGACGCGCCGTCGGGTCGCCGCCCCCCGCCCCCGCCCCCCCGGACCCTCCCGGGCCTCCGCCGCCCGCCGCGGCCGCCCCCGCCCCGCACCCCCCGGGAAGGGAAGGGGGGCGTGCCCGGCTCTGGCGGCCTGGCCTCGGCGGCCCGCGGGCCCCCGCACCCCAGGCGCACACGCCCGCCTCGCCCCGGCCCCCGCCCCCCGAGTTTCGGCCCGGGAGGCGACCCCAGCCGAAGTCGGTCCGGCGATGCTCGCGGCGCGCCCGCCGGCCCCCGCTGCACCCGCGCGCCCGCCGTCCCGGTGCGCCCCGGCGTCTCCTCGGCGCGCTGCCCCGAGCGGCGAACACTCGTGCTTGATTCCTCGAGTGTCTGTCACACCTTCCCCGCCCCTCCCTCCGCCCCCTCCGCGCGGCTGCTCGCAGACGCCGAGCCAGAGCCGGGCAGAGCCGGGGGTCCTCCACGGCCACACCCCCTCCGGGTGGCACCTCTTGCTGCCCCAGGGAGGGGGCGCGGGGCTGTGCTGAGCCCGCCCGGGCGCCCTCTCCTTCCAGCCCGCTCTCCGTCCCCTCCTCTCTCTCCCCTCCCCTTCCCTTTGGCCCGCTCCTGTTCCAGGTCTTTCTTTCTCTCCTCGTGCCCGTTTTTCTCCTTCTTTCTTCCCCCGGTCTCCTTTCTTTGCTTCCTCCAGCCCGTGTCACCCAGCCGGCACCGTGTCCCTGGCGCTCCCCTCCCACTTGCAGTGGTTGCCCTCCAGACACGTGGTCTTCCTCCTCTGAGTGCGTTTGAGACTGGGAGTCTCCTCCCGCCTCTGAGTGTCCCCCCAGACTCTCCCAGCCAGCAAAGGAACCTCCACTTCAGGTTCTCAGCAAACCCTATATATATGTGTGTGTGTAGGGGGGAGAGGTTCCCACCCTCTCCCGGCCCGCGACCCCAGGCAGCTGTAGGGCACTGAGCCACACAGCGCTGCATTTGAGGGACGTTTGCCTTGCACGAGGCCGACTCGGGTTCGATTCCCAGCATCCCATCCCATCTCCTGGTGGTCCCCGGAGCACCTCCAGGAATAATTCATGAGTGCAGAGCCAGGAGTAACCCCTGAGCATCGCTGGATGTTACCCAAAAAGCAAAAAAAAAAAAAGCTGCACAATGTGTGTGTGTGGGGGGGGAATAGGGCTCCATGCAGTGGTGCTCAGGGGCTACTCCTGACTCTGTGCACAGGCATGACCCCTGGCGGGGTTGGGGAGCACATGCCATGCCTGGAGATGAGACCCAGGCTGGCTGCATGCAAAGGCAGCTCCCTTCACCTCACCTCTGGCCACAAATTCTAGCCAGCAAGGTGGGCGTGGCGTGGCTTGACACAGCTCCCACTGGGATGTGGACCACTGGCTGTGCTCCTCACTCAGGAATACATAAAATGCATATTATTAAAATGCAAAAACATAATAAATTGGGTCCAGGGAGTTAGAGCAAAGGTTCAGACCACCTGCTTTCCATGCCAGTGACCTCGGATCTATCCCCAACACCACATAGCTGCCCAGCACCTCCAGGGATGAGCTTGGTGCTAGGAGTAACCTCTGAAAGTCACCATTCAGAGGATGTGGTTCCAAAACAAAATAATACATAGTTTGTTTTAGCAGTGCTCAGGGCTCACCCCTGGCTCTGCTCTCAGGGATCACTCCTGGCAGACTTGGGGGAACACTGGGGATCAAACCTGGGTCGGCTGTGTGCAAGGTAAATGCCCAACCCAACAATACATATTTTAAAGTTGATTAAATTTTCCTTGTTTGTTTGAGCCATACCCGGTGGTGCTCAGGGTGTGACTCCTGACTCTGTGCTCAAGGATTACTCTTGGCAGAGATTGGGGGACCATACGCTATACAGGGGATTGAACCTAGAAAGGGACTGAACCCAGGTCAGCTGCATGCAAGGCCAGCGCCCTACCCGCTGCACTATCATTCCAGCCCAAATATTTATCTCTAGGGCCAGAGAAATTGTATAGTGTGTAGGACACTTGTCTTACACACAGTTGTCCTGGGTTCAATCCCTCGCATCCCATATGGTCCCCTGAGCATGGCCAGGAGTGATCTCTAAGTGCAGAGCCAGGAGTAACTCCTGAGCATCACCGGGTGTAATGTGGCCCCCCCCCAAAAAAAATTTTTTTTCTCTCTAAGAAGGACGTCTGCTGGGTTACTCATAGGCAGGAAGAGCACCAGCTGCCAGTGAGGCTGTGACTTCCTGTCCCAGACACTCACTGTCACAGTCTCTGCTTGGCACTTGGCGGAGGACAAGGATCCACAAAGGTTAGCAGCATCCCTCCTTGTGGCTGACTGGGTTTTGGAAAGCAATCTCTGGATTTCTGTCATTCTCAGCCTGGTGTGGCCCAGACCCTCTCTGCACTGAATGTCAGGGTCGCTATTTTCTCCCCTTGAACCTAAGTCGAGTTTTGCAGCTGTCACAAACGGCGTGACCACGTGACTTCACTATAGCTCACAAAAGGCCCTACAGCTCTGCCCAGCTCCGCTTCCCTCACCCAGAGCCACCGAGCTGGGAGGAAGTGTGGGCATCACAGACAGACCATGTGATGGTGCGTCCCACAGCACCTCCGGTGCGGGTACCCACAACAGCCTCACTCCTGAGAGAGTGAGCCTTCAGGAGATTCAGCTGCAGATGCAAATCGAATAGAAAGACCTGTCCCACGGACCCTGTTCCACTGAAAAAATAGATATTGTTTGAAGCCACTAAACTTTGGGGGTGGTTTTTTACCCAGTAGTGGCTAAACAGAATGCCCGCCCAGGTTCCAAAGCTTGGGAATGAGTTACAGGATTGGGACAAATTTGAAACGGGACACTCCATCGCCCCAATTCCAGAAGCTGTGGTGCTATTGTGTAAGGTCCAGTCCAGCACCCGGTGATATGGTGTGAAGCTCTGCTTCAGAATTTGGAAGGAAGATGGCTGGAGGAATCGATCGGGATGGGAGTGTGTACAGAAAGTAGATAAAGGACCAAACATGATGACCTCTCAGTATCTGCATTGCAAACCATAATGCCCAAAAGTAGAGAGAGATTATGGAGAATCATATCTGCCATGGAGGCAGACGGAGGGTGGGAAAGGGGGGGTATATCGGGGATATTGGTGGTGGGGAATGTGCACTGGTGGAGGGATAGGTGTTTGATCATTGGGTGATTGTAACCCAAACATGAAAGCTTGTAACTACCTCACGGTGATTCAATAAAATAAAAAAAAAAAAGAATTTGGAAGCATTCAATGATTGTAAAACTCAGAGGGAAGAAATATAAATGCTGATCATCCAGTTCAAGCTCTTTCTTTTTTTCCTTTTGGTTTGATTTTGGACCACACCTGGCTGTGTTCAGGGCTTAGTCCTGGCTCTTGGCTCAGGGATCACTCCTGGTGGTGCTCAGAGGACCATTTGGAGGACTGAGGATCAAACCTGGGGCGGTTACTTGCAAGGCAAGCACCCTATGTTGCTTCAGTCCCTCCGCATTCAAGCTCTTGAATTGACCAACAGGATGGAAACTTTGTTTTTTATTTTTTATTTTTTTTGCTTTTTGGGTCACACCCTGCGATGCACAGGGGTTACTCCTGGCTCTGCACTCAGGAGTTACTCCTGGCCATACTCAGGGGATCATATGGGATACTGAGAATTGAACTCGGGCGGCTGGGCCAGCCACGTGCAAGGCAAATGCCCTTCCCACTGTGCTGTCTCTCCAGCTCCAGGAGGATGGAAACTTTAGAGATTAAATACTAAAAGACTTCACAGAGGTGATTATTTTAACTTTTTTTTTTTTAATGCAAATGACAAAAGAAGCCAAACACTAGCTGAGGAAGAAGTTGTTAGGGGTACCAGCTGGTAGGGGATCTGCTTTTAACAAAATCACAGAAACTTCTCTGAGCCGGAGTCAGAGAATTCCAAGCAGAGGGAAGAGCAAGGGCAAGGGCCCTGAAGAAGGAAC